TTCTAGACCATGTAGTTTCAATCACCAAACCTTTCGTTTTACAGCTTCTTTTTCTTAACATGCTCACGTCAAAACTGATTTAAATTCTAATCGCTGATTAAAGAATCTGACATTAATTATTATGTCAAATTATCGTTACCATGGCAACCATGTTATATTTCAGCTTAAGTAAGAGAGTAATAAATACGATGCTAGATACGGCAGTACTACTGCAGATGATATGTATGTGTATGTCGTAAATGTTGCTGTCACGCTGGGTATTAATACTGGCTGGCTGACTGACTGAGTATGGTTTTACGCCGTTTTTAGCAATATTCCAGCAATATCACCGCGGGGGACACCATAAATGGGCTTCACAAGTTGTACCCATGTGGGGAATCGAACCCGGGACTTCGGCGTGACGAGCGAACGCTTTAACCACTGGGCTACACACACACACACACACACACACACACACACACACACACACACACACACACACACACACACACACACACCCTGGGTATTTATACAATTATATGTGTGATGTGTGATTTCCTCAATGATCAGAAAGCATGTATGTAGCGTGGAACCGGCAGATGCCTACAGAAGAAAGTGTTTGCCCTACCTGTAACTACGATGTCCCGTGTCTATAAAAGTGGGATGTAATGTGGGGATGAATGACATGTACTTTATCTTCGCCAGTTTATAATGATACATATTGTGATTTTTCACAATAATCTCTCTGGCTTTTTAAACATAACCGGTATTTCCATTATTGTATTAATACAGCAACATTCTTCGAAGTTTCTCCATATACCTCCGTCAGATACATTGTGCACTACCCTTTCTCTTTTGATCTTCTCAAAGGACTGTTACAAGTTCGAAGAATCCTGGTCAAAGTAGAAAAGTCTATTCCCTATAATTCTGTAACAAACACATTGTACACTAAATGGGTAGAGCTTCCGTTCGGGGGAATATCAGATGAACAACGATGCAATTATCTCCAATCTTGTAGAAAGCACGCCACTTACTTAGGAAAACAATAACCCACTGAGATATTGCATTCATGTCGGAATCAATATTTTCGGAACCTATCAGATCTGAACTTGAACATGCGAGGTCTTCGTCAATGTCAGGCCAAAGTTCTACAAGATATTTAGCAACACTGGGGCGTAATAGTCTTAGGCCTGCTCCAAAAAACGGCATATATATCTTGTGAGAATGAATTCCTCGACGGGGAAAATTACAGTAATGCAACATCACATTTACTTCTGTAACATTTGCTTTCGCAATATGAGTTTATGGATCATCAATTTAAACAGGACAATCAAGACGAATTTCACAAAAGGCACGAAGGTTCACGATGCCTGTGGTGTACTCAGAAAACGCACCCGCCTGTGCTACGCGGTCATAATCGCTACACGATAAAACCACTTTTCATTTCATGTCTCACAGAATATATAATTTGATATGACATTGTTTGTTATCGTATACTTTTGCGTTAGTGAAACAAATGAGGACAACTTCATGTATGGTGTCATTACAACAGACCGCCTCCGTGGTTTAGTGTTTGGAGCACCCCTTCCCCTGGTCGCCTCGGAGTCAGTATAATGTGTCTGAGTGGGGTATTCATGCTTCACTGCAACGTGGTATCTCAGTGGGCTAGCACTATAAAACCAGCTTCAGTCTGGGCAAGTACAAGCAGCCGCACATACACATACACACGCATGCACGCCGTCGTATGAGCGAAATATTCTCAAGCACGACGTTAAATCCAATTCCACCTCACCTCCCCCTTATTACAGCAAAGGCTGAGCGGAAGGAGAAATAACATGGTTCAGGCAGTGTGAGACTATTAAGAAAGGTCACATGCAGTGCAGTAATATTCCAATTATGTACTGCCACAAAATATTTTACAGTAGTGATGCGCGAGCTGAACAGACTTAAGAAATTTCCAGTTGGTTCGTGTAGCGTACTTGGCTGTGCTCCAAGAGAGATAGAGTGCTGTTCTATTGGGACAGCTAGGGACACTTGCGAGGACAAATGGGCACATCATCGCCCTTTGTTCACAAGTGAACCTTTTAATCCCTCGAAACAAACACCTCACAAGATTTGCCAACACCGCAGACAAGGCGTAACTGATACTGGTAGCAAGAGCGAGTGCAGCTTAATAAGGCGTGTTAGCTTGCGTAATACTCTTTCTTTGTCAGGCTCTTTTTGTGATTAGAATATTAAGGTCATGTGAACGTTGATTTCAAACGTACTAAAATGTGTGAAAATGAAATTACATGAACCAAGTAATTCACATGATGGAAACATATGGTCATCGTGCTTGAGCACAGGTAACATGAAGATATATGAACCGTTCATATACATACCCCTGAAATCCGGTATGATACATAAATGTCTAAGGTCTGTGAACATTTGCAAATTTGCAAATTTACATTTGTTTCCCACCGAAGTAAATTTACATGTTTCCAACCCGAGTAAATCGGAAATTTCAGCATCCATTTAAATTCAAAGAAATGCATCGGAAATACTGTATAATCATGTATTTACTGGGGTATCTGTTTTGGAAATACCTGACAATCCGGTCATGGCATACATGAACGAGGTACTTGTGCATACGAAAATTTACGATGAGCATATGTTTCAAAGGTATAGATTTGCATGAAATATATGCCCGAAGTTAGGAAATATCTGGAAACATACGTAAATCCGGCCATATGATGTATTTCCTATTGTATTTACGTGTATTTCAATGGTTTACTATCCGGCTGTTGGTCCTCTGAAGGAAAACAGTGCGTTTACAGATTTTTATGAAACTAGAAACATAATATTTATGCACACTGTTGAAAGACGTGATTTGTCTACAAGAGCAGAAATTCTTCCTTTTGAAGTAACGACAGGAACTTATCTTATTTGTTCGTTCTGGAGTGAGTGAGTGAGTATGGTTTTACGCCGCTGTCAGCAAATATTCCAGCAATATCACGTTTGAGGACACCAGCAATGGGCTTCACACATCGTATCCACGTGAAGAATCGAACCCGGGTCTTTGGCGTGACGAGCGAACGCTTTAAACACTAGGCTACCGCACCGCCCCTGTTCGTTCTGGAAGTCATAATGGGCGCGGATGGAGTAATGTTCCGCATACTAATATATAGGATATTGAGCTCATCTTTAGTTTGATAAATGATATATACAACACGTCACAATTGTATTCTAGAAAGACAAAAGTCCAGAAGCACTCCGCACTGTGACCAGTTTCTGACAAAGGATTTGACAACATTCAATACCCAGTTATCATTAATATATACTCAAAATGAAATGAAACATTTTTCGTAAACTCAATATTTAAACTACCTCGCCCATGGGCGAGACTAACTACGTTTTGCTCAAAACAAATGCTTACTAAGTTGTATATGGATGAAAGTATGTTTATAAGTATCATTACGCAAAATTTAACTCATTCTAACTTAATTCGGCTAATGTAGAGCGTTATTAAAATAAAACAATGGCCCATAGGCGAGTATATTTACATTTGCTCAAAACTCATTATTTTATCATATTAAATTGCAAATGAATGAACGTATGTTTATAAGTATCATGATCCGAATTGCAACTCATTTTAAATAAATCCGCAAAAATTAGAGCGTTATCCCAATATCTCGCCCATGGACGAGCATAATATTTTTTCCCCAAAGCTCATGCTATTTGCTTTGCACTTTGCAAATGGACGAAACAGTTTTACCTACTGGCGAGTGAAAACGTTTCAAAATTCATTTGGTTTGGATTGCAATAAACATTTATCAATGTCTATTACTACACTGACACTTGACAAAATTCTTTCTACGTGTTATGAAATCACAACACGAATTGCTTCTTCGTGTTATCCTTATGATTAAAGTTCACAAAAAAACAAGACGAAAATAAATCACTGATGATGAAAACGATTTACTTTTGAAGCAGCTGACACGAACATATACAGTTGTTTTGTTTTACTATGTTTACTATGTTTGCATAGTATACGTTTGTATTTATATAAAGTATGGAAATTGAGAGACAACACTACTTACCCATAAGTACTTAGCCTTGCAGTTATTGCTGGTACACTGTAATGTCTCTATAGTATACGTATGTGTTTATAGAAAGTATGGACACTGTGACCCAATACTGTTAACCAAAAGCACTTAGTCCTTCAGTTATTACTGGTACACAGTAATTTCTCTATCCTGCACAGTAAATGTCTGTATTTATAGAAAGTATGGACACTGTCACCCAATACTGTTAACCAAAAGCACTTAGTCCTTCAGCTATCACTGGTAGACAGTAAGGTTCATCATCATTTATAGCCAACAATTTATAAATGCATTTTGTTGTCCATATAATATTTATTACACATTTGCATACCTGTGCCTGCTCTGCAGCTATATTCTCACTCATTTATTATATGATATCACCAGGAAAGTATGTATCATGGGCCCAATGTCTCCTTATTGAATAAATCTGTCTGTCTGTCTGTTTTGTTTTAAACATATTTTATGCGTTTTATATCACCTAATTAGGACTTAGCTATCTCCTAATTAGGACTGAATATCTCCTAATTAGGACTTAAGGATCTTATAAATACGTTTGAAAAAAGTCAACCAGTAGTCATTCACTTCTTCTGTTTGGGTTTAGCATCTTGGATGAAGTCATGGATGAAAGCATATCCATTTGTTTCACGTTGGGCATGCAGTATTCAGAAATTTTGTCTTGTTTGGTCCATGTAAATGGCATCATTATCAGCATGAAGACTTTGAAAAGGAAATCAAAAGGACTGAATCTGTTTAGGCGAAGACATAATAGTGATATTGCAGAAGTTGCTATGTTCGTAGTGAAAGAGGTAGAAGAATCAGTGATTATACAGTGCCATTTAGAAAGTGGTCAAATGTAACATGATATATATGGGATAACACTTTCTTAGTGAAATACAAAATCTAGTACTTTTGTTGGGTTGAGTCCAATCCGGTATTCGAAGTGAATGACTACTAATTGACTTTTTCAAACATATTTATAAGATACTTAACACCTAACTAGGATATATTAAGTCCTAATTAGGAGATCATATCACATAATTAGGAGATAGCTATGTCCTAATTAGGAGATAAAAAAATTCAGACTGTGGCACTAGGACGCTTCCGTACAGCTGCTTCCAACTGTATTAGTTCACATTTGGGAAGAGCAATTGTCCTGGACAACGGAAGCATATAAAGCACTTGCTAGGATTGTACCAACCATATCTGTGGCCAGTTTTGTAATTTGCATAGGTCGTCATTCATTGAGTGCTCGATGTGCTTAATATCTGGAGATATGACAAAGATTGTATCATCTGCGAATAAACGTAACAATTTGTTCATTTAATTAATATATATCAAAACTAATAACGGCCCAAAGAACTGATCCCAGGGGGACTTACGTTTGTTTAGTGGAGACTTTCTGGCGTCTGTTAGTGAGATAGCTATGCAACCATTTAAGCTGGTTATTATTAATGTCATGCTGTTTGTGTAATAAACACTTATGCCAAACTTTGTCAAATGCTTTAGAAATGTCTCAGAAAACCATACAAAAATGCCCGTGCTGATCTAATGACTTGGTGGTATATTTCAAGTAGTTTGAAGACCTGGTATAAATACTGACTGGTATTTGCATGGGGAAGTTGGGACCTAAAAGATAATTATGCAATCTTTTGAAGACGATACTCTCACATATCTTACTGATACATGGTAATAGTGATACAGGTCTGAAATTGGAAGGCAGAGATTTATCACCTTTATGTATTGCAATGACATGTGCCAAATTCCATTGTTCTGTTAATTCGTGCTTGAGCAAGGACTGACTGACTGACTGAGTTTAGTTTTACGCCGCTTTTAGCAATATTCCAGCAATATCAGGGCGGGGGACACCAGAAATGGGCTTAACACATTGTGCCCATGTGGGGAATCGAACCCGGGTCTTCGGCGTGACGAGCCAACGCTTTAACCACTAGGCTACCCCACCGCCCCCCTTGAGCAAGGACAAATTGAACAATAAACACAACGTGGCGGCTATAGAATGACAATATGGTTATGGTTATCTGCACCACTAGCTTTATATGTTGAGAGTGACTTTACCAAATCGTTTATTTCAAGTAATTGAAAGTTTGTCCTTATTTCACAATGTTCATGATGTTAACTAACAGTAAACGGAGCACATATATCAGAATGAGCAGGCGATTGAAGACGAAAAAAAATTCAAATGAATAAGATCTACAAGAAAGTGAAACGTCTAACCGAGACATTCTTCCACATGACAACGAAGCGTAGGTGCGTCCAAGGCTCAGTACGTGCATGGGTGTCCTCTCACTAAGCCAGATTCTATCAAACCAGGTCTCTCCTATAGCCAGAGTGGGATTTGGCTGACTAGGGTTAGTGTTTTGATTACACTTAGTCCAGATGAGCCATAGTTTGTTCCAACAAAATGCTCAATTAGTGAAATTTGTAATAAAGTGAGATACATGTACATTGATATATGATATTATTTGAATTGGTTGGAAGGGTGGTTTAAACATATTTATTTCATGATAAACAACAACAAATTTTTCATGAACTGGATTGGTCAACAAGCTCAAAAGAGTAGATTATTATTCAGACTAAACGCCGCTCGGTAAGGGTCATCTAGAAGTATCGGCAAATAATCGTTACGTTTATTCTCTTGCTAGTCGGACTGGTTACAGAGCTGCATGTATACCCAATAGATTGCAGGAATTTCATGTCATTGTATGAGGTGAGGTGTGCTGAAATGGTTCACGTTCACTACTACAGTTGTTGAGACACTTGCCGGTCTGTCTGTCTGTCTGTCCGTCCGTCCGTGTGTTTGGTGTTGTGTGTGTGTGGACGTGTGTTCTGTGATTGTTTTTGTTGTGTGTGTGCATGTGTGCGCGCGTGCGTGTACGTGCTGGTGGGCGGTATAGGCACTACTGTTACTCTTCTCCACTGTACCGGTTTCATAATGCCTGCCGCCCCCCACCACCACAATGCCGGCAACATTTTTAGTGTTCTAAATGGAACTGATGCTATACATATTAATTTACTCTTCCTGGATGGTACTATGAAGACAGGTACATATTCCCCGTGTCGCTGCTGGTATTGCGTTCTATGTGTACATACACGAACAGGATCTCCTATTGAACATAATATTCAGTTTTCACAGGAAATCTCATTTGTCCGTGTTAAAGTGGAACACCACGCCATCTGTTACCAGTCACCTCGTTACGTTACTGTCATGGCTGCTGCACACACACGAACCATTATTGGCAATATAATGCAGTTGTATAACCAAACCATCAAAATAACTTTCTGTCAGCATGACAATATTCAATTAACCCATGACTGAGCATGCAGGAGAGTATGAAATGTAAGATAAATGTAATAAATATATGAAAATGATGGACATATTTACACACCTCTGTCATATTTGATGATTTTAATTTTTAAATATATTCTTCTGTTTTAGGACCTGCGAAGGACTTACAATCAAATGGTAAGTACATTTCAAACGTTTGTTTCGTTTTGGTTTGGTTTATTGTTTTACACGGCTATATTTCAGCTATATGGCGACGGTCTGTAAATAATCGAGTCTGGACCAGGCAATCCAGTGATAAACAGTATGAGCGTCAAACTAAGCAATTGGGCTACGATGACGTCAACCAACCACCCGATCTCGTCAGTTGCCTCTTATGAGAAGCATGGGTTACTGAGGACCAATTCTAACCCGCATCTTCACGGGTGGGGACCAACATGGGTCCCTGAAGACCAATTCTAACCCAGATCTTCACGGGGGAGACAAGCATTGATTCCCTGAAGACCAATTCTAGGCCAGATCTTCACGGGGCAGACACGCATTGGTCCCTAAAGACCAATTCTAGGTCAGATCTTCACGGGGCAGACAAGCATGGGTCCCTGAAGACCAATTCTAGGTCAGATCTTCACGGGGGAGACACGCATGGGTCCCTAAGACCAATTCTAAACCAGATCTTTACGGGGCAGAAACGCATGGGTCCCTGAAGACCAATTCTAGGCCAGATCTTCACGGGGCAGGCACGCATTGGTCCCTAAAGACCAATTCTAGGTCAGATCTTCACGGGGGAGACACGCATGGGTCCCTAAAGACCAATTCTAAACCAGATCTTTACGGGGCAGACACGCATGGGTCCCTGAAGACCAATTCTAGGCCAGATCTTCACGGGGCAGGCACGCATTGGTCCCTAAAGACCAATTCTAGGTCAGATCTTCACGGCGGAGACACGCATGGGTCCCTGAAGACCAATTCTAACCCAGATCTTTACGGGGCAGACACGCATTGGTCCCTAATGACCAATTCTAAACCAGATCTTCACGGTGGAGACACGCATAGGTCCTTGAAGACCAATTCTAACCCGGATCTTCACGGGGGAGACACGCATAGGACCTTGAAGACCAATTCTAACCCGGATCTTCACGGGGGAGACACACATGGGTCCCTGAAGACCAATTCTAACCCGGATCTTCACGGGGGAGACACGCATAGGTTCTTGAAGACCAATTCTAACCCGGATCTTCACGGGAAAGACACGCATGGGTCCCTGAAGACCAATTCTAACCCAGGGTGCCGTTCCACTAACCGATCTTATCTAAGATCAATCTTAGCAAGTTACGCCAATTTTACAATCGTCTTAGCTAAAAGTTACACCCGTTCCACTACCCGATCTTAGGCCGATCGTAGCCGGTCCCAATCTTACGATCCGATCCAAGCTTAGACGGAGACTCTTTCGTTAGAGAGATAGAGGAATGCGAGGCATGAGTTATCTCCCTTTGCATAGTTTAGCAAATGATGGAAGTAGTTTACGAACCAACTGAGTGAGTGAGTGAGTTTAGTTTTACGCCGCACTCAGCAATAGTCAAGCTATATTGCGGCGGTCTGTAAATAATCTAGCTAATTAAGATGCATAGCGTTCACTAACATGAGCGTTCATGTTGGTGAATGCTATGTATCTTAGCTATAAATATTCGAGTCTGGACCAGACAATCGAGTGATCAACAGCATGAGGATCGATCTGCGCAGTTGGGAACCGATGACATGTGTCAACCAAGTCAGCGAGCCTGACCACCCGATCCCAATAGTGGCCTCTTACGACAAGCATGGGTTATTGAAGTTCAATATTCTAATCCGGGCCTTCATGGGTATATTTCCAACCAAGTGTAAACGTGGAGGAAAAAACTAGAGCAAAATATTAGGGTAGTGAGCACCTTAGTTTCAGGTGCAAGTGTGTGTGAACGCTGCTGGGTATCAGGCATAATATAATAATAATAAATGCATATTTATAGTGCGCCTATTCCACATCCTGGGGCATGCTCAAAGCGCTATGTACTCATAATTTACACGAGAGTATTTACTCGCTCGGTTGTGTTCCCATGACAACAGTGGTCAGACTGGCCTGACATTTGTAAGGCTTCAGTGCAGTGTTTGTTTACATCACAGAAATATACAAATTCATTTCATGGGGGATTCTAGGGGACGCTCACGCTAAAATGCTCGCTCTTATTTTTCACATAGAATAGGAAAGCCACCATTTTGGTTTCTCTACGATTGATTTTAGCTATCCTAAGTTGGTCATGAGCAACTTAGACTTTGAATCGTAACTTTACGATTGACTTAGGTAAGATTGGTTAGTGGAACGGTATGCCGATCTTAACATCACGCTAAGATTGGGATTTTAGGGGTTTAGGATTGGCATAGGGCTAAGATCGGTTAGTGGAACGGCACCCAGATAATCACTGGCTTTCTGTGCGTGTTTCAGCTCCCTGTTACACATCAAGAAGGGCGGAGCAGGTTGTGTAGGGGGGCTGCGCTAGAAGGTTTTAGCTGCTAGAATTTGATCTGATGTCCCCAGATCTTGATATTTGATCATTTCTCTGGTCTACTTGTCAGAGGGATAGTACAGAAAATACGGAATTAGCGAGTGTTCCTTATACAGTGATCCGTGTTGCGATTGTGAGCAACGACCGACCATCGTAGACACACTCAACAAATGACAGAAAGTCACCGACAACGTGCCACAACACCACCAAACCTCCTTGTCGTTGTATCCCATATTGCGAAGATCGATGCTCATGATGTTGATCACGGAATTGTCTGGTCCAGACTCGACTATTTACAGACCGACCGGCGTTAAACAACAAACAATCAACAATCATTTACAAGCAAAATCTTTTTCAATTGCACGGTTTCTTTTAGTTTATGTTTTAAACACACCTGGTACCATGATGTCCAGAGGTTAATTTAAAAGACTCGCATCACAGTTCCCCTGGATACGGCAGGTATTCGAGGCTGATTATTCTGTCGAATTATTTTTTTCTCTGGTCTGTTTTTCTAATGATCCTAGTTCCTGTAGAAGACCACACTCTTCTGGACAGCGCAACGATAGACACAAGTAAGATATCATCATCATCATCATCATCATCATCATATTATCATCATCACCATCGTCATTCTAACTACTATTCGAGTTTAGAAGCCTATACAATCATTCAATGCTTATCGTGAGTGGGTGCGGGTTGTACCACAGCAGTCTTGCATTGAAACAACCAGCTCTTCACAAATAACCCGTGAAGGTCCGGGTTAGAATGAACCTTCAGTAACCCATGCTTGTCGTAAGAGGCGACTAACGGGATCGGGTAGTTTGGCTCGCTGGCTTGGTTGACACATACATGTCATCGGTTCCCAATTGCGCAGATCGATGCTCATGCTGTTAATCACTGGATTGTCTGGTCCAGACTCGATTATTTACAGACTGCCGCCATAAAGCTGGAGTATTGCTGAGAGCGGCGTAACACTAAACTCACTCACTCACTCTTCACAAATGTTTCACCGGCGAAGTTACAACACCATCCCAGATTGTAGTTGTGTTATAAACCGCTAATGCTTCGCTAAAAGATCAAAGGCGCGATAGCGATGTTTTGTTAGTGTCGATTATGTTAACAAAGTGATTACAGCCATGGTTTTTGATGATGTAAAGTAACCAATGTTCAGCTTGAAAACTGTATAAAGTCGAAGAGTGTATAACGAGCGACGAAATAAGATTAATGGTTTCTTTCGAGTTCGTTATATCCGAAGTCTACTGTGCACCAGCATTCACAGCAAGCACACAACACATCTGTGATGGTAAATTACATTAAGCTGGTAATCGTGTTTGCCGACATCATCAAGGTGCGTCAGGAATAAGTTCCTCGTGAATATACAACCAATGCTTAAACAAATTCAGGACGTTTTCGTTCAAGTTAAACATCCTCTCTGTTTAACTGCAATGAATCGTCCTATTTGTACTTCCAATATAAGTTTTGATCACATCCAGAGGAAGCTGACTAGCCACGTGACCTTCTACAGGTGCATAGTGGGGCTGTTGGCGTAGACCTAGTCAGTGAACATTTCATTGTGGGTGTTTAACTTTAAGTCAAGAACTTTACGACAAGCAATGGTATTCACCGACAGAAGCACCTGCAGACCACGAAGCTGGACTGTACCGTTTGCAACTTCTCATTCAAGTTTATGTCACAAGTTCGCATTTATGCAGGTTCCATACTCTATGACATGAGGCGGGAAGCTGCTATCGCACAGTTCTTGCTCATGCGAATGTAAATTCAGGCGATAACAAAATCCGGAATGTGAAGCGGAATGCGATTCTTATAATACCAACACTACAGGGATGCTCACCGAGCAAGCAGCACAGTGTGTCGTGACGTCGGTTACCAAGGATACGTGTGATTATGAGGGAGTAGACAAGAATGACGAAGTGTACATTATCGTACTGTCAGCGCCTTTGATGTTTTAGCGAAGCATCTTAGAATTAATGATGCTATTGAAAAGGAGAATTTATTATCATATTTCTATGGTGTATGTTTATAAATGAAAGTTACATGTATTTCCAGTGCAGGAGGAGATTTCCAAGGATGTTCTTCTGAACGACTTCAAGACGAAACTTAAAGGTAAATTATTGACTTAACAGTAATAATAAAAATGCGAGATAAGGAAACACCAACAAGCACCCACCCTACACAAACTCGACAACTGCAAGAAATCATGAGCTCGGGTATAAAAGGCACTTCATTACTGGATGCTGTTTTCAGATCTTCAGACTGCGGGATTATGGAAAGCCAACCCGCCTGTGCAGCCATGCAGCCGGACTGGAGGATGTGAGTGGTCCAGCTATACTTACATTACACATACCCGACCCTGCTGTGTGGTAGGGACTAATAGTCCGGACATTGCAGCATCAATACATAACTTCAGTTGATGTACCTGTATAGTCCTGGCGACATTGTTACCACAGTTTTGACCCGTGAAGATCCGGGTTTGAATTTATCTTCAGCAACCCACGCTTGTAGAAAAAGGCGACTTTCGGGATCGCCGGCTCGCTGACTTGGTTTACACATGTCATCGTATCCCAATTGCGTAGATCGATGCTCATGCTGTTGATCACTGGATTGTCTGGTCCTGACTCGATTATTTACAGACCAGTGAAGATTCGGGTTTGAATTGATCTTCAGTAACCCATGTTTGTCGTAAGAGGCGACTAACATGATCGGATGGTCAGGTTTGCTGACTTGGTTGACACATGTCATGGTATCCCAATTACGTAGATCAATGCTCATGCTGTTGATCGCTGGATTGTGTGGCCCAGACTCTGTTATTTACACACCGTCGCTATATAGCTGGAATATTGCTGAGTGCGGCGTAAAGCTTAACTCACTCACTCAAAACAGTATAGACTAACATAGGCACTCCTCTTGTTTACAAAAAAAGGATAGGGGCTTAAACAGGGAGAAAACGTTAAGAACCTGTTTAAGTCCAAAGACTGACTGACTGACTGAGTTTAGTTTTACGCCGCTTTTAGCAATATTCCAGCAATATCACGGCGGGGGACACCAGAAATGGGCTTAACACATTGTGCCCATGTGGGGAATCGAACCCGGGTTTTCGGCGTGACGATCCAACGCTTTAACCACTAGGCTACCCCACCGCCCCTTAAGTCCAAAGAAGGAAGCGAGCCTGTTACGACGTAAATTGTAATAAAAACGCAAAATGTAATAAACTTGACGTAGATTGTAATAAAAATTGACGTAAATTGTAATACGCAAATTGTAATAAAAATTGACGTAAATTGTAATAATTTTCGTTGCGGTAAAATGTAATAAATATTTACGTAAATTGTAATAACAGTTTTAATCACTCGTAAATACGTGGGTGTTTGTTTTTCGTTGCATTTCATACATCAAATAAGCTTGTAAGGGCGATAACTCAATAAAGAAATGATGGTAACAGAGCCATTAACACAGACCAGAGTCTATACCTGCCCAGTGTTACCTGTGAATGCCCGGGTTAGCATTGGTCTTCAACAGACCGTGCTTGTAATAAGAGGCGACTAACGGGATCAGGTGGTTGCTGACTTGGTTGATGCATGTTGTTGTAGACATAACATCAAGGTATGATTATACGCCGCAGTGATATTGCTTGCATTCCTACATACTGTCGGTTGTCGGTTCAAGCTAAAACATGATTGAAATATTTTCTAATTTACAGTACTAAATATTCCCACAAGTTACAGAATAAATGTTATTCGGTAAATAAAGTATCCTCGGATTATGTTTTGAAGATGAATTACACTTACTTTGGCTCTAGTTGCAAGAGAGAAAGTTTAACATTACAAATACTTGTGTAATGACACATGTTGAACTTTTGTCTTGCTCCAAAGTTTGCACATATACAGCCACTTTTACGATCCCTACACTGGCTGCCCATCTCAGCTAGAATTGAGTTTAAAGTTCTTGTACTCGCATACCAGTGCCTTAACGCTATCGCGCCATCCTATTTGTGTGAACTTGTAAGCCAGTATAATCCAACAGGAACTCTCAGATCCCAGTCCCAAATTATGTTCTTGTAGCGCCATGAGCATACCAGCTGGCGTGGAGTTTAGCGCTTTACAAATTCACTCATTATTATTATTATTATTATTATTATTATATTGCATAATGCAATTTCACACAACAAACCAATCAAACCAGATTGAACTTCACGAAATTTTCATTATCAGCAGAAATACATCGTGATGTTCCTGCCGCTGGAGCTTCCATAGTCAGCTCTTGCATAACATATGTGCTTACTCAGCATTTCCTGATGATGGAGTATCTGTGAAACGTCTTCTGAAAGAATTTAACAAAGGTTATCCATTGTAGGTTTTATGTATTTATTCAAATCTTCTTCATGGGAATTTCGGTGAGGGTAGCCCTTTGGTTGAAGCATTCGCTCGTCACACTGAGGGTCCGGTTTCGATTCCCCACTTTGGTACAATGTGTGAATACCATTTCTGGTGTCCCCCGCCGTGATATTGCCGGAACATTGCTTAAAGCGGCGTAAAACTAAACTTACTTACTCACTCGTAACCCATCGTTCCTGACCCTTTTGCAGCCTTACCGTGCAACGACACTGCGTGCAGCAGGAGGCCCTACCAAGAGTATGAGGCCAGGTTACACAGTGTCCTGAAGCCTGTAGAACGTGTGAACACAACCCTGAGGGATCACATTATGGACTTGATGAAGGTGAAGACTCCTGTCAGGCGGGTTGTCATAGCAACAGGAGCGTCGTCCGATCACTTCCTTGAATCTCAGGGCCTTGTTCGAAGCCTACATCAGAACGTGTTTCCTGAACTGAACAACTACACCTTTGTGTACTACGACCTTGGCCTAAAGCCAGAGCAGATTGAACAGGTAGATACCACAGGTAGTCCCAGGTAACAGCCCGGGGGGGGTGATGAAACAAGTCCCACGTGTAGGGTGTTACAAAGTGATTCTGCTTCACGAAGTGTAGTCACCGTGTGACTGATCCATTCGAAAACTACGGTGGGGTAGTCTAGTGGTTAAGGCGTTCGCTCGTCACGCTGAAGACCCGGGTTCTATTCCCCACATGCGTGAAACCCATTTCTGGTGTCCTCCGCCATGATATTGCTGGAATATTGCTAAAAGCGGCGTAAAACTAAACTCACTCACTCACTCATTACTACAATGTCTGGTTGTTCATGTAGCTGAATAACCGTGAAGATCCGGGTTAGAACTGATCTTCAACAGCCCATGCTTGTCGTAAGAGGCGACTAAGGGGATTGGTGCGTCAGGCTCGCTGACTTGGTTGACACATGTCACCGTATCCTAATTGCGCAGATCGATGGTCATGCTTTTGATCAATGGATTATCTGGTCCAGACTCGATTATCTACAGACCGCCGCCATATAGCTGGAATATTCATTCATTCATTCATTCATTCATTCATTCACTCATACATATAGTCTCCACCTAAAACTGATCCGTCACTTACTCCGTGTTTTTCCGCTCCGGTCACGTTCAAACTTCATCCATATCAATATTGTTGAATTCTGTCATAAAATATTTAGACTTTGGTCACAGGTTTGAAATGTTGGAAATGAGCATTTCTGATTAAGTCGCCAGTGTTGGTATCGTAATGGACCTAATCCCGTCTGCAGTACTCAGTGACCTGCTCGCACTTTCACTTGATACTTTGAAAATGTAACGAAGAGACATTTATTGATCAAATAGCCAGATTTACACTCGCGTTGATTCATGGATAGAAAGGGAAGTGCACGATTTCATTTTGTATATTGACTGATTATTTTATTCCTTGATTCACAAACTGAAAATGCCTAATATTCCACTCGTGAATGAAACGTTTGTTTATCGAAGCCATTTGCAATCATCACCCATTCGTGTGCACACACAAAATGTGACGTCATCTTGTTTCGTGGATTACGTAGTCGGTTACTATCTACCACTATGTACGACAGCCCATTGCAAGTATTGGCACCTGGGAAAGCAGACGCCGGAATGTGAGAATGTTTGTGTTAACGGTATCTTTTTTACTTGACATTTTGTAAAAAATAAATTATGGTATTAGTGTCATTTGTGGGCTATTTGTCTCAGTGCTTGAAAATAAGATTGTTTATTTGCGTCTCGTGCAGAGATTCGGAATATTTTTGTCAGCGAGGCGTGATATTGTACGTACATCAAAAGTACCCCCTTTGTGACGTCATACGAGCGTTAATTTACAAGATACATTGATAATTGCCGATCCACGAATCAAAGCTATCCACGAATTTGGGTGACGGTTCTGTACAATTTGTTTCCTATTCTGCATGTACCTCACCGATGAAGGTCTTTTACTGAATACTGAAACACGATTGCGTGGTTGAACTTCTTCTTTTCGTCTCAAAATTACATAATCAAAAGTACATAATCTCCGTTTGTATGGCATCAGAGTAACAGTATCAGATTCGACCAAACGGGAATCATGTGAAATTAAAAAGAGCATATGGTTTTATACCCGGTATTTTTACAATACACAATACACAAGAAATATCCATGAATGCAGACTTGTTCTCGTCACTATATGGCTGAAATAACGCCGATGTTACGTAAAGCCCAACTCAACTCAAATACAATACACAATACAAAGACACAAATGGTTGATCGTCAGCAACTTATGTATTTCTTAAAAGGCAAGTAAAGGGGTCGCATGGCCAGACCTAGTGACTTGGCTGATGCATCAGAATACCAACTGCGTTCTTCGATGCTCATGATGTCAATCACTGGATGACTGCTCCAGAGCGATTATTTACCATATTGTACAACAGAAGGGACCAATATGTAAATATTGTTCGACCCGCACCAACTAAATCGTAAGGCATCGGGTTCCTTTCAGTCAAACGACCAAAATTCTTTAGGGACAGATGTTAATCCTACATACAGTGAATTACATTTCAGCTGAAGAAACACTGCCAATGTGAAGTACGACGGTATCCTGTTGAGAAGATGCCAACCATACACAAGACGCTCCGATGTTACACATGGAAACCATTCATAATTCAGGTACCGTTTTGAAGGATCTAGATAGTAGGGCTGGAAGACCACCCTGACTAATCCAACAATAACATATATATCTTGACTTTCTTCTTCTTTGTCTATATATATAGTGGCACATCAACGCATCTAGCTTGGTCCCTCCCTGTGCTTTCTTTACGCATCTCCCTCAGATCGATCAGTTATGATATCTGCTGATCACTGGATTGTCTAGTCTCGATCATGTACAGAGCGCCGCCATATGGCTGAAATAATGCTGAATGCAGCGTTAAACCACAAACACAAGCGTGTATCATCCATCGTGTAAAACCTGATACACTGTTGGGTCGGGGAATATGTTGTGGGAGACATGGCCCCTCTACGTCTCGCATCCAGTAACACTTCTCCCCCTTTATAGATCGATATTGTGTATGTATATATTTACCTACCAATACCTCTATTTCTTCAGCCCTTTAAGGTATGTTTGTCAACTGATATATGTATATATCATTTTAACACTGTGGAGGTATTATGACAATGCTGTTGTAGGTCCTGTCAACATTGGTCATTGATAAAGATAATGATAATTTAACAATTTCCTGAGATTCCGTAAAAAATATTGGCTACTTTATTCTTTCAGGCAAATATTCACTTTGCTGACATTTTAATTTGGGCCGATGCATCTATACGATTTTCAAAGTCGATTATTGGACCCCTTCTCAAAGACGTGAACATAAAGGGCGCCATCATGGGATTGGACTCACCAGTATACTCTGTGGCCGATCATGTGCAGAAAACTACCTTCGACCATTTCGGTGAACAGACATGTGCTTTCGCTCAAGTTGGCGAGATGGCGGCAACGTTTCTAGCCTTTAAAAACGAACGTTTGGTCAGACAGGCCATACTCAAGCCTTGGATAGCGTGTGCCTTAGATTCCAAATGCATGTGTCCTTCCAACCCAGAGAAACTTATAGTGTGTCATACGAACATTAGAAAATATAACAAGTGTCACAGGTTTGATCAAGCTGCTTTGAATATAATTCTAGCGAAATTGTTCTGGGGCAATGGGCGGTCATTTACACCATCCAGAAAATACTTTGACATACGGAAAGAGGATAGAGTGCACTATTTTGATAAGTTAGGAAAATGATGTTCGGAAAAGGTTTTTGTGTTTGAAATAGTAGTTATTTGTATGCAATACACAGGCATCGTTTCGGTGGGAGGCCAGTGTTGAACGCCCATGATCCTGGTAGAAGACAGTGGACAAATACCACGATTTTCGTTGTGAAAACGGTACAATATGAGATACTGTATGGTGTTATAGCGGGACAATATGAGAGAAACGATACTGTATGGTGTTATAGCGGGACAATATGAGAGAAACGATACTGTATGTAAACGGAGACTTTGTACTAATATGTCAAAAACTCAAATTGTGCACTTCAGACCTCCATCTACAAAGCAATGTGAATATAAGTTTCACATTGGAGAAGATCAACTGGAATATACTGGCTCCTACAGATATCTAGGTCTATTGTTTACAGAATACTGTGATTTACGTTATGTAGTGAAACAACTCATCAAGTCTGCATCGTGAGCTGTGGGGTATGTGATGGACAAGTTCTACTGAGTGTTCACCCAGCGGTGCGACCATATTGGTTATCCTGTGCTGAGTTACTGCTCTGGAATCTGGGGTGTCAACAAGTACATGAAAATGTGTGTGATTCAAAATAGTGTTTCTGGGAGTCAGCAAGAATTCAGCTAATCCGGCAGTGCGAGGCGACATGGGGTGGCCCAGTACAGAGTCCACATTGAGGTAGCTCATTTGTGGTGCAGGCTTCAGTGGATGGAACCCAAATAGGCTCAATAATGCTATTCACCAGTGGTCTAAAACTGGAGGGAAATCCTGGGAAAGGAAGGAGTGAAAATATTAGAGGAACTTAACCTAATGGATGTGCTCACTACTATCAACGCGGAACATATTCTGGGTCATCAACAATATTAGAGAAAATCTGTCAAATGAGCATTCGAAAAAGCTAGTGGCCTGCTAGCTAAATACCAGTTGATTGTGAATCGGGCCAGTAATATATTGTTAAAGCTATCCCCACTGGCTAGCTGAAAATCTCAGATAGTGTGTTCTTTGTTAATGCGCATGAATATTATGAAGTCAGTTTTTAAAGTGTTAAAAGTCCATCCGCAAAGGTTTCGTGATATTTATTGCCTCTTGTCACACGCTATAGAAATAATGTTAATAGCAGGGCCAGTGACGTATGATGATGTTATTTACTTAACTAGTCCTCCCTGCCAGTGACGTATGATGATGTTATTTACTTAACTAGCCCTCCTAGCCAGTGACGTATGATGATGTTATTTACTGAACTAGCCTTCCTGGCCAGTGACGTATGATGATGTTATTTACTGAACTAGCCCTTCTGGCCCGTGACGTATGATGATGTTATTTACTTAACTAGCCCTCCTGGCCAGTGACGTATGATGGTGTTATTTACTTAACTAGCCCTCCCTGCCAGTGACGTGTGATGATGTTATTTACTTAACTAGCCTTCCTGAACAGTGACGTATGGTGATGTTATTTACTTAACTAGCCGTCCTGGCCAGTGACGTATGATGATGTTATTTACTGAACTAGCCCCCTGGCCAGTGACGTATGATGATGTTATTTACTGAACTAGCCCTCCTGGCCAGTGACGTATGATGATGTTATTTACTGAACTAGCCCTCCTGGCCAGTGACGTATGATGATGTTATTTACTGAACTAGCCTTCCTAGCCAGTGACGTATGGTGATGTTATTTACTGAACTAGCCCTCCCTGCCAGTGACGTATGATGATGTTATTTACTTACCTAGCCCTCCTAGCCAGTGACGTATGATGATGTTATTTACTGAACTAGCCTTCCTGGCCAGTGACGTATGATGATGTTATTTACTGAACTAGCCCTCTTGGACAGTGACGTATGATGATGTTATTTACTGAACTAGCCCTCCTGGCCAGTGACGTATGATGATGTTATTTACTGAACTAGCCCTCCTGGCCAGTGACGTATGATGATGTTATTTACCGAACTAGCCCTCCTGGACAGTGACGTATGGTGATGTTATTTACTGAACTAGCCCTCCTGGCCAGTGACGTATGATGATGTTATTTACTTAACTAGCCCTCCCTTCCAGTGACGTATGATGATGTTATTTACTGAACTAGCCCTCCTAGCCAGTGACGTATGATGATGTTATTTACTGAACTAGCCTTCCTGGCCAGTGACGTATGATGATGTTATTTACTGAACTAGCCCTCCCTGCCAGTGACGTATGATAATGTTATTTACTTTACTAGCCCTCCTGGCCAGTGACGTATGATGATGTTATTTACTTAACTAGCCCTCCCTTCCAGTGACGTATGATGATGTTATTTACTGAACTAGCCCTCCTAGCCAGTGACGTATGATGATGTTATTTACTGAACTAGCCTTCCTGGCCAGTGACGTATGATGATGTTATTTACTGAACTAGCCCTCTTGGACAGTGACGTATGATGATGTTATTTACTGAACTAGCCCTCCTGGCCAGTGACGTATGATGATGTTATTTACTTAACTAGCCTTCCCTGGCCAGTGACGTATGATGATGTTATTTACTTAACTAGCCCTCCTTGCCAGTGACGTATGATGATGTTATTTACTGAACTAGCCCTCCTGGCCAGTGACGTATGATGATGTTATTTACCGAACTAGCCCTCCTGGACAGTGACGTATGGTGATGTTATTTACTGAACTAGCCCTCCTGGCCAGTGACGTATGATGATGTTATTTACTGAACTAGCCCTCCCTTCCAGTGACGTATGATGATGTTATTTACTGAACTAGCCCTCCCTGCCAGTGACGTATGATAATGTTATTTACTTTACTAGCCCTCCTGGCCAGTGACGTATGATGATGTTATTTACTTAACTAGCCCTCCCTTCCAGTGACGTATGATGATGTTATTTACTGAACTAGCCCTCCTAGCCAGTGACGTATGATGATGTTATTTACTGAACTAGCCTTCCTGGCCAGTGACGTATGATGATGTTATTTACTGAACTAGCCCTCCCTGCCAGTGACGTATGATAATGTTATTTACTTTACTAGCCCTCCTGGCCAGTGACGTATGATGATGTTATGTATTTAACTAGCCCTCCTGGCCAGTGCCTTTCAAAATTAATTCATGCATTCAAATACTGATAAACTGAACTGGAGAATGGAAGTTATGAATCGTAACTAAATTGAGGACATATAGTTTGTTTAAGCATGATTTGTGTAGTGAATCATGCGTCACATTCCCACGAGTAAAATAGATCAGCTGACGCATCCATGAAGTGTGGATCTCTAAAACTAACCTTACAAACGCGCAGATTCACCTCATCTCCAGTCACAGCTGATGAACGTTACTGCAAACTATGCAGCACTCAGTGCAGAAGATGAGAAACATTTTGTTACATGTTGACCTCTCTACAGTGACATCAGCCATGAACTTCTGTCTCAATTATCCAAAGAAGTGCCTGAATTTGATTATTTGGACTCAAACGGCATATTGATCTGTCTAATGCAGAATATGGATTTTAGTGTGATCAAACCAAGTCTAAACATGTTTTTAAGAAGAAAAAAAGTTTTTTTAGTAATAATTTTCAAGTAATACTTGCTTTTGTGTGAATGTATGGTAGTGTGTATGCATGGTTTTGTGTATGTATGGTTGTGTGTATGTATGGCTGTGTGTATGTAGGGTTGTGTGTATGTATGGCTGTGTGTATGTAGGGTTGTGTGTATGTAGGGTTGTGTGTATGTAGGGTTGTATGTGTGTATGGTTGTGTGTATGTATGGTTGTGTGTATGTAGGGTTGTATGTGTGTATGTATGGCTTTGTGTGTATGTATGTATGGTTGTGTGTATGTATGGTTGTGTGTATGTATGGGTGTGTGTAGGTTTGTATGTATGTATGGTTGTGTGTATGTATGGTTGTGCTGCTCTTCCCAGCGTCATGGCAATGGAGCTGACACAAAATGACCGAAGCCGTCATTAAGTAATTAAGATCCAATAAAAACAATACACCCGTAAACCTCATGTATAAACTCACTAAAAGTCGGACCACATTTGTTAAACGTGGATCTACACAAACCTTTCCTTGAAAAGAACACCATATCAAAACATGTAGAAACAAAATGTACGTTATGTATGGCTGTATGTGTATGCATATATGAATACTATTTATTGCTTAAGTAAGGATGTGTTACTAATTTTACAGTATAAAATATAGGTCAGCCTTGGCCGTATGGTATACTATTGGTCTGTTATTTGTTCTCGTTTTGTGTATATGTGTGTAACTATCGACACTTAAATAAACAACTGCCTCTCCCTGAACTGAACAACTACACCTTTGTGTACTACGACCTTGGCCTAAAGCCAGAGCAGATTGAACAGGTAGATACCACAGGTAGTCCCAGTCTGGTAACAGCCCGGGGGGTGATGAAACAAGTCCCACGTGTAGGGTGTTACAAAGTGATTCTGCTTCACGAAGTGTAGTCACCGTGTGACTGATCCATTCGAAAATGACAAATTGTCCTCAATACAGGTGTAATTCTTGAACTAAAATATTCCCGTTTATTGAAAAAAATGAAGGTCACAGTCTTGTTTGAAATATATGTTTGGGCTTACAGTTTCATTATTACAAGGGGCGGTGGGGAAGTCTAGTGGTTAAGGCGTTCGCTCGTCACGCTGAAGACCCGGGTTCGATTCCCGACATGGACACAATGCGTGAAACCCATTTCTGGTGTCCTCCGCCATGATATTGCTGGAATATTGCTAAAAGCGGCGTAAAACTAAACTCACTCACTCACTCATTAATACAATGTCTGGTTGTGAAGATCCGGGTTAGAATTGATCTTCAGCAGCCCATGCTTGTCGTAAGAGGCGACTAAGGGAATTGGGGGGTCAGGCTCGCTGACTTGGTTGACACATGTCACCGTATCCTAATTGCGCAGAACGATGCTCATGCTTTTGATCAATGGGTTATCTGGTCCAGACTCGATTATCTTCAGACCGCCGCCATATAGCTGGAACATTCATTCATTCATTCAGTCATTCATTCATTCATTCATTCATTCATTCATTCATTCATTCATTCATTCTCCACCTAAAACTGACCCGTCACTTACTCCGTGTTTTTCCGCTCCGGTCACGTTCAAACTTCATCCATATCAATATTGTTAAATTCTGTCATGAAATATTTAGACTTTGGTCAGAAGTTTGAAATGTTGGAAATGAACATTTCTGATTAAGTCGCCAGTGTTGGTATCGTAATGGACCTAATCCCGTCAGCAGTACTCAGTGACCTGCTCGCACTTTCACTTGATACTTTGAAAATGTAACGAAGAGACATATATTGATCAAATAGCCAGATTTACACTCGCGTTGATTCATGGATAGAAAGGGAAGTGCACGATTTCATTTTGTATATTGACTGATTATTTTATTCCTTGATTCACAAATTGAAAATGCCTAATATTCCACTCGTGAATGAAACGTTTGTTTATCGGAGCCATTTGCAATCATCACTCATTCGTGTGCACACAAAATGTGACGTCATCTTGTTTCGTGGATTACGTAGTCGGTTACTATCTACCACTATGTACGACAGCCCATTGCAAGTACTGGCACCTGGGAAAGTAGACGACGGAATGTGAGAATGTTGGTGTTAACGGTATCTTTTTTTCTTGACATTTTGTAAAAAATAAAATATGGTATTAGTGTCATTTGTGATCTTGGGCTATTTGTCTCAGTGCTTGAAAATAAGATTGTTTATTTGCGTCTCGTGCAGAGATTCTGAACATTTTTTGTCAGCACAGGCATGATATTGTACGTACATCAAAAGTACCCCTTTGTGACATCATACGAGCATTAATTTACAAGATACATTGATAATTGCCGATCCACGAATCAAAGCTATCCACGAATTTAGGTTACGGTTCTGTACAATTTGTTTCCTATTCTGCATATACCTCACCGATGAAGGTCTTTTACTGAATACTGAAACACGATTGCGTGGTTGAACTTCTTCTTTTCGCCTCCAAATTTCATAATCAAAGACACAGAATCTTCGTTTGTATGGCATCAGAGTAATAGTATCAGATACCCAGTATACCCGGTATTTTTACAATACACAATACACAAGAAATATCCATGAATGCAGACTTGTTCTCGTCACTATATGGCTGAAATAACGCCGATGTAACGTAAAGCCCAACTCAACTCAAATACAATACACAATACAAAGACACAAATGGTTGATCGTCAGCAACTTATGTATTTCTTAAAAGGCAAGTAAAGGGGTCGCATGGCCAGACCAAGTGACTTGGTTGATACATGCACCGAATACCAACTGCGTTCTTCGATGCTCATGATGTCAATCACTGGATGACTGCTCCAGAGCGATTATTTACCATATTGTACAACAGAAGGGACCAATATGTAAATATTGTTCGACACGCACCAACTAAATCGTAAGGCATCGGGTTCCTTTCAGTCAAACGACCAAAATTCTTTAGGGACAAAATGTTAATCCTACATACAGTGAACTACATTTCAGCTGAAGAAACACTGCCAGTGTGAAGTACGACGGTATCCTGTTGAGAAGATGCCTACCATGCATAAGACGCTCCGATGTTACACATGGAAACCATTCATAATTCAGGTACCGATTTTTAGGATCTCAATAGTAGGGTTGGAAGACCACCCTGACTAATCCCACAATGGCATATATATCTTTACTTTCTTCTTCTTTGTCTATATATATAGTGGCACATCAACGCATCTAGCTTGGTCCCTCCCTGTGCTTTCTTTACGCATCTCACTCAGATCGATCAGTTATGATATGTGCTGATCACTGGATTGTCTAGTCCCGATCATGTACAGAGCGCCGCCATATGGCTGAAATAATGCTGAATGCAGCGTTAACCACAAACACAAGCGTATATCATCCATCGTGTAAAACCTGATACACTGTGGGGTCGGGGAACATGTTTGTGGGAGACAGGGCCCCTGTGTCTTACATCCAGTAACACTTCTCTCCCTTTATAGATCGATATTGTGTAAGTATATATTTACCTACCAATACCTCTATTTCTTCAGTCCTTTCAGGTATGTTTTTCAACTGATATATGTATATATCATTTTAACATATTATGACAATGCTGTTGTTGTTCCTGTCATCATTGGTCATTGATAAAGATAATGATAATTTAACAATTTCCTGAGATTCCGTACAAAATATTGGCTACTTTATTCTTTCAGGCAAATATTCACTTTGCTGACATTTTAATTTGGGCCGATGCATCTATACGATTTTCAAAGTCGATTATTGGACCGCTTCTCAAAGATGTGAACATAAAGGTCGCCATCATGGGATTGGACTCACCAGTATACTCTGTGGCCGATCATGTGCAGAAAACTACCTTCGACCATTTCGGTGAACAGACATGTACTTTTGCTCAAGGTGGCGAGATGGCGGCAACGTTTCTAGCCTTTAAAAACGAACGTTTGGTCAGAGAGGCCATACTCAAGCCTTGGATAGCGTGTGCCTTAGATTCCAAATGCATGTGTCCTTCCAACCCAGAGAAACTTATAGTGTGTCATACGAACATGAGAAAATATAACAAGTGTCACAGGTTTGATCAAGCTGCTTTGAATATAATTCTAGCGAAATTGTTCTGGGGCAATGAGCGGTCATTTACACCATCCAGAAAATACTTTGACATACGGAAAGAGGATAGAGTGCACTATTTTGATAAGTTAGGAAAATGATGTTCGGGAAATGTTCTTGTGTTTGAAATAGTAGTTATTTGTATGCAATGCACAGGCATCGTTTCGGTGGAAGGCCAATGTTGAACGCCCATGATCCTGGTAGAAGACAGTGGACATATATCACGATCTTCGTTGTGAAAACGGTACAATATGAGATGGACAATACTGTATGGTGTTATGGCGGGACAATATGAGATGGACGATACTGCATGGTGTTATAGCGGGACAATATGAGATGGACGATACTGTATGTAAACGGAGACTTTGTACTAATATGTCAAAAACTCAAATTGTGCACTTCAGACCTCCATCTACAAAGCAATGTGAATATAAGTTTCACATTGGAGATCAACTGGAATATGCTGGCTCCTACAGATATCTAGGTCTATTGTTTACAGAATACTGTGATTTACGTTGTGTAGTGAAAGAACTCATCAAGTCTGCATCGCGAGCTGTGGGGTATGTGATGGACAAGTTCTACTGAGTGTTCACCCAGCGGTGCGACCATATTGGTTATCCTGTGCTGAGTTACTGCTCTGGAATCTGGGGTGTCAACAAGTACATGAAAATGTGTGTGATTCAAAATAGTGTTCTTGGGAGTCAGCAAGAATTCAGCTAATCCGGCAGTGCGAGGCGACATGGGGTGGCCCAGTACAGAGTCTACATTGAGGTAGCTCGTTTGTGGTGCAGGTTTCAGTGGATGGGAACCAATTAGGCTCAATAATGGTATTCACCAGTGGTCTAAAACTGGAGGGAAATCCTGGGAAAGGAAGGAGTGAAAATATTAGAGGAACTTAACCTAATGGATGTGCTCACTACTATCAACGCAGAACACATTCTGGGTCATCAACAATATTAGAGAAAATCTGTCAAATGAGCATTCGAAAAAGCTAGTGGCCTGCTAGCTAAATACTAGTTGATTGTGAATCGGGCCAGTAATATTTTGTTAAAGCTATCCCCACTGACTAGCTGAAAATCTCAGATAATGTGTTCTTTGTTAATGCGCATGAATATTATGAAGTCAGTTTTTAAGGTGTTAAAAGTCCATCCGAAAAAGTTTCGTGATATTTATTGCCCCTTGTCACACGCTATAGAAATAATGTTAATAGCAGGGCCAGTGACGTATGGTGATGTTATTTACTGAACTAGCCTTCCTGGCCAATGACGTATGATGATGTTATTTACTGAACTAGCCTTCCTGGCCAGTGACGTATGATGATGTTATTTACTGAACTAGCCCCCTTGGCCAGTGCCTTTCAAAATTAATTCATGCTTTCAAATACTGATAAACTGAACTGTAGAATGGAAGTAACGAATCTTAACTAAATGGAGGACATAGAGTTTGTTAAAGCATGATTTGTGTAGTGAAACATGCGTGACAGTCCCACGAGCAAAATAGACCAGCTGTCGCATCCCTGAAGAGTGGATCTCTAAAACTAACCTTACAAACGGGCAGATTTGTGTATGCATGTTTGTAAGTATGTAGGGTTGTAAGTATGTATGGTTGTATGTATGTATGGTTGTGTGTATGTAGGGTTGTATGGTTGTGTGTATGTATGGCTGTGTGTGTAGGGTTGTATATGTGTAAGTATGGTTGTGTGTGTGGAACGAGACTCACACGCGTGTGACCAAGTTTCAGCTGAATTTGACGAAAAGCGTTAGGGTTGCATACTTAGAAGATGTGTAAATTTTGAATTCGGAAATTTGACAGAAGTGCTCGGGGGTGAACTACAGGATGGTTTAGTTGGTACTTATTTTGTTATTTTTATGTTTTGTTTTTGTATTTTTTAAGTTAGTACTGTTTTATTTTTATGTTTTGTTTTTGTATTTCCTGAGTTACCATTATCTGGTTATATGGGATTGTATGCGAAGTAGAAGGCCAGTTTTGATAATAATTATACCTAAGGCTTTGAAGGTTTGGGTGTTGTTTAGTGAACGTGGAGTGTTAGGTGAGTGTTTGTGTCCAGTAAACTCTGGAGCACCATTCTGTGTTGCTGGTAGTATATGCAATGAAGTGGACGTGCGCGGGCGTTTCTATTTCGTTGCACTGTGTGAATGTGTCTGTTTAGAATTTAATTTGGTATGACCTGTTTGTAATTTGGCTATTGTCCTGAGAATATGTCTGGATTTGTTGAATTTTTTAGTGTTTTAAGTGTTTTTATTTGATAGATTGTTTAGTTATGATTTTGAATTTTGTTATTTACTTTGTCACTTTTGGAAGATTGTTTTTTGTGGGGACAATATTATTTTAATTATATATTATTATCTAAAATCAATAGCCTTTACATGGAGCACTTATGAAAGAACGCAGTCGCCAAAACTAACGCCCCAGCTTCACAGGAGGGGTGAATAATAAGAAAAAAGGCTCAGATATATAGATGGAACACATCTGCATCATTTATCATGATATCACACAGATCATATTAAAGTCACATCGTTTATGTTCACTGTCTGTCTGTCTGTCTGTGTTTCCTCTTTCTGTAACAGACTCTCATTAATTAAATGCTGCTCTTCCCAGCGTCATGGCAATGGAGCCGACACAAAATGACCGAAGCCGTCATTAAGTAATTAAGATCCAATAAAAACAATACACCCGTAAACCTCATGTATAAACTCACTGAAAGTCGGACCACATTTGTTTAACGTGGATTTACACAAACCTTTCCTTGAAAATAACACCATATCAAAACATGTAGAAACAAAATGTACGTTATGTATGGCTGTATGTGTATGCATATATGAATACTATTTATTGCTTAAGTAAGGATGTGTTACTAATTTTACAGTATAAAATATAGGTCAGCCTAGGCCGTATGGTATACTATTGGTCTGTTATTTGTTCTCGTTTTGTGTATATGTGTGTAACTATCGACACTTAAATAAACAACTGCCTCTCTCTGTTAGAACGGGGCAATATTAGATAAACCGTGCTGCGTGTTGTAAGAACGGGACAATATGAGATAAACCGTGCTGTATGTTGTAAGAACGGGACAATATGAGATAAACACTACTGTATGTTGTAAGAATGGAACAATGTGAGATAAACCGTGCTGCGAGTTGTAAGAACGGGACAATATGAGATAAACGTGCTGCGTGTTGTAAGAACGGGACAATATGAGATAAACCGTGCTGTATGTTGTAAGAACGGGACAATATGAGATAAACCGTGCTGTATGTTGTAAGAACGGGACAATATGAGATAAACACTGCTTTATGTTGTAAGAATGGGACAATAAGATATAAACCGTGCTGCGTGTTGTAAGAACGGAACAATATGAGATAAACCGTGCTGTATGTTGTAAGAACGGAGCAATATGAGATAAACACTGCTGCATGTTGTAAGAACGGGTCAATATGAGATAAACCGTGTTGTATGTTGTAAGAACGGGTCAATATGAGATAAACACTGCTTTATGTTGTAAGAACGGAACAATATGAGATAAACCGTGCTGTTTGTTGTAAGAACGGGACAATATGAGATAAACACTGCTGTATGTTGTAAGAACGGAACAATATGAGATAAACACTGCTGCATGTTGTAAGAACGGGTCAATATGAGATAAACCGTGTTGTATGTTGTAAGAACGGGTCAATATGAGATAAACACTGCTTTATGTTGTAAGAACGGAACAATATGAGATAAACCGTGCTGTACGTTGTAAGAACGGGACAATATGAGATAAACCGTGCTGTATGTTGTAAGAACGGGCCAATATGAGATAAACACTGCTGTATGTTGTTAGAACGGGACAATATGAGATAAACACTGCTGTATGTTGTAAGAATGGAACAATATGAGATAAACCGTGTTGTATGTTGTTAGAACGGGACAATGTGAGATAAACACTGCTGTATGTTGTAAAAACGGTACAATATGAGATAAACACTGCTGCGTGTTATAAGAACGGGACAATATGAGATAAACCGTGCTGTATGTTGTTAGAACGGGACAATATGAGATAAACACTGCTGTATGTTGTAAGAACGGGACAATATGAGATAACACTGCTGTATGTTGTAAGAACGGAACAATATGAGATAAACACTACTGTATGTTGTAAGAACGGGACAATATGAGATACACCGTGCTGTATGTTGTAAGAACGGGACAATATGAGATAAACACTGCTGCATGTTGTAAGAACGGGACAAAATGAGATAAACCGTGCTGCGAGTTGTAAGAACGGGACAATATGAGATAAACGTGCAGCGTGTTGTAAGAACGGGACAATATGAGATAAACGTGCTGCGTGTTGTAAGAACGGGACAATATGAGATAAACCGTACTGCATGTTGTAAGAACGGGACAATATGAGATAAACCGTGCTGTATGTGGTAAGAACGGGACAATATGAGATAAACACTGCTGCATGTTGTAAGAACGGGACAATATAAGATAAACCGTGCTGCGTGTTGTAAGAACGGGACAATAAGATATAAACCGTGCTGCGTGTTGTAAGAACGGAACAATATGAGATAAACCGTGCTGTATGTTGTAAGAACGGAACAATATGAGATAAACACTGCTGCATGTTGTAAGAACGGGTCAATATGAGATAAACCGTGTTGTATGTTGTAAGAACGGGTCAATATGAGATAAACACTGCTTTATGTTGTAAGAACGGAACAATATGAGATAAACCGTGCTGTATGTTGTAAGAACGGGACAATATGAGATAAACCGTGCTGCGTGTTGTAAGAACGGGACAATATGAGATAAACCGTGTTGTATGTTGTAAGAACGGGACAATATGAGATAAACACTGCTGTATGTTGTAAGAATGGGACAATATGAGATAAACACTGCTGCATGTTGTAAGAACGGGACAATATGAGATAAACCGTGTTGTATGTTGTAAGAACGGGACAATATGAGATAAACACTGCTGTATGTTGTAAGAACGGAACAATATGAGATAAACACTGCTGCATGTTGTAAGAACGGGTCAATATGAGATAAACCGTGTTGTATGTTGTAAGAACGGGTCAATATGAAATAAACACTGCTTTATGTTGTAAGAACGGAACAATATGAGATAAACCGTGCTGTATGTTGTAAGAACGGGACAATATGAGATAAACCGTGCTGTATGTTGTAAGAACGGGACAATATGAGATAAACACTGCTGTATGTTGTTAGA